AATAATAGTAACTTTTATAGAAAAATATAAATTGGTATAGTAACTTTTTAGGTGAAAAATACTTTTTTAAAGATAAAATATGCTTATAATTATCAATTAAAAATATTACTTATTAAAGTTATGATAAAAATTAATAATAATAATAATAATAATAATAATAAACAGTAACATCATTTACCGTTTAACTATAACTTTTCTAATTAATAATTATAAATAAACTTTATACATTAAAATATAATCCTCACACATTTATTAGATTTACATCGAACTCAAAAGATTCAATTATGCTATGGAATAAAGATGACTATTTTTTAGTAGGATGGATATAAATTTCATACCAAACTAATGGCTTGTTTGAGTGGAAAGTTTAAAAGGAAAAAAAATATAGTTAAGAGAATATCATATATCAAAATAATTTGTTTGGATATCAAATTTAAAGAATTTTTAAAATGATAGAAACTTTATATAGAAGACTTTTTTTTAAAAGTAAAATAAAAGAACTTCATATAATACCTAAAAAAAAGAGAAAGAATTGGAGTATTTTTTTCATGATAGCACTGTGATTTCTTTCTTTCTCTCCCTTATTCTCTTTTGCACGCTCTCTTCCTTTCTCTCAATAATTTTTTTTTTGGTGAAGATGCTTCTAGTCTAGGAATAATAATTGAAGGTCCCAATATTTACTTTATTTTTCACTAAACGTTATTTTCATGAAAAATTCTGGAGCCTCCGAAACTATCCTCTGAAATATATTCCGAACCTTTAAAAAAAAGTTTTAACTATAAAATATTAAATTAAATAATTATTTCATATTAATTTTATTTTAAAATATTAATATTTTAAGATTAGACGCTGTTTCGGTTAATTTTTTTGGAGTGTGTAACATTTTTCTATTTTCATACGTGAAAATTATGTTGAAATCAGTGTATCAAATACTAAATAAAAAATTTAAAACATGGGAAATTTAAATTTTTATATTCAAAAAAATATTTTAAAAGTAAATAATTAAATTCTCATAGTATATCAAAAGTTGTATAATTGCGATACTAGAAAGACTAAAATCATACTATTATACAATTTTTGATATATTTAAATTTATATATTTTATAATTTTTATCCATATAATAAATTATATATATTTATTATTATTAAAATTATTAATATAAATAACTTAAATAGATCAAAAGTTAATATTAAAAAATTAAAATCACACTATTGTAATACTTTAGAAATAAAATTACTCAATTAAAAATAAAAGAAAGTGATATTCGGAGAATTAAAATTAGTCTATTAAAATTTGATAAATTAAAATCAAACAACTATTATACTCGAGGAAAAAAAATGCATTTAAGTTTATTTTAATCGGAAGAAAGATCATTGTCACTCGGAAGATAACATTCACAAATTCAATTTCAATTCAAAACCAACAGATGCAAAGTCCGTGAAGGTCGCAATAGCCAGCCAATGTGATAGAAGAATGGTTAGTGGAAGGGTCGTACTTTCATGATAGAGATGTTGAAGGAGAACCCACCACTTACATTGGTGGACATTTAACCAAAAATTGGATCACAAGTCACAATACTTGATTCAAGATGGTACATGCACCTATCATGAAAAGATCTTTGAATTTAATCGTAACATGTTATTACCCGTGACATCACTAGTTTATGAGTTTTATGTTTGTATGCTTGTTTACCATAAGAAGAAAAGACACTAGCCTTTTGTAAATTACTTTCCAAATGATTGGTAATTCTTGGTCAGTTCATGAACACATGCTACAGCCAAATGAATTGAAATCCACATCGGACCCTTTTGAAAGAAAATTTTAGTTGATATCACATTTTGCCATTTGAAGGGTAGTACAAGAAAATGCAGTAGATGCACCCCTTGAGTCAAAGGAACACATAGGAAATTGAGAAATGCGAACCACAAAAATGAGAACTCACTCTCATGCAAAACCACTTTCCCATATATCTCGCAAACAGGTCCAACACAGATGACCCAAACTGTCCAAAGATTTACCAACAAGGCTAGCCTAATTCCCGGCATCGGCTCTAGCAAAAAATACTTTTTGAAATGAGACTATCCGTATTCAATTCTTGTAAAAATACTTAGATTAGTAAAATTCACGATATTATGAGGAAAATTAATCTCCAACTTAATAAACCAAAAGATATCTATTGTAAAAATAATAAATAAACAAAAAAACAAATTTGAAGAAACTACATTTATGGCCCCTTCACATATTTTTATGAGACAAATGAATAATTTATTCTCAATTATACTCTTTTAAATATTTTTTTTTTTACTATTGGCTAAAACTACTGCAAAACAAAGCTATTTAAATTTCACTTTTTATTTAATGAAACTTCACCCATCATTTTATATTTTTTTGATAAACTTCAATTTATATTAGTGTAACAAAAAACAATGAATTGTTATCCCTTTTTGGTTATCAATATAAGATATCTACTTTCGTCTCTATTAGAAATCATAAATGTACACAATGCAGATATTCTCCTATTAAGATAATTTATTCAATATCAAATATCAAAATTTGAATTATTGATTAAGAAACAAATATTACTTCGACTCATGCCGGCCAAAATTGGTTAAAATGAATCACTTCTTACCGGCACTTATTTATCATCAATTCCCAGACAGAGTGTTCACTGATTAGTTTGATTCAATTTTAGGAGAGAATAAAAAACTTAACTAATCAAAATTATACGGTTTGGTTTGATTGACAATATTTTTCATCAAACACACTAAATTACCTGTTCGACAGTGCGTTGGTTCAGTTTGAATCTATCAGATCTGATGTCACAATAAAATTAAAAAATAAAAGATATAAAATTCTTCAATTATTCAAATCCAATAAAAAATAAAATTATTTAAAATCTAAGAGATGATAGCAAATAGAAAAATAAGAAAAGAAAGAATATAATAATTGAAAGGAGGTGTATGTTGGCGTTATGTAATCGATGATAAATACATAAATCCAATAACCAAACCAGCAAAAGTCGAAGCTTAATGGTTTGATTTGAGTCAAATCTAATCAAAGAAAGGGAAAAAAAATAGATTAACTTAATCGGTTTAGTTCATATAGTAAACACACCCCTCGTTATCGCGTTGCTATACGACACTGTAAAAAAAAATGCTCCTAACTTTATGCGTGAAGAGGTTAGGTTAACTAATAACTACATTTACAAACACCTTTCTCCCAAAAGATGATGACAGCATCGCGAGATTTTTTCCATTATGCTTTGTCTTTTGTGCTCTTTTATTCACTTAACATGTGCTTCACATCAAAGTGGAATCTTGATTGTAATCAATATCCAGCTAAGTCGCAACTCATACTTAAGAATTTTGGTCACTGTTTTCGCTGTCATTAATAATGGAGTATCGCACATTGCTATCGTTTTCTCGTGCATTTAGTCTCTCTTCAACTACCAAGTGCCTTTGCGAGAACCCCACAGAGACTCACTGTAGGAGGCAATGAACAAAAGCACTTCCTTTTTCCTGCATTGCAAGTTATATCATTATAGCATTCCAACATCACACCACGATATCAAACCCACTCTTATCACATTAGTTCAAGCATTAATTACCATGTTCTCCCAAAGATATTATTGGGGATTATATTCTAAATAACATTCAATGAATCTGGGATCATAGCAACCGCAGGGTTGCTCGATGCAAGATAACACCACTTCCTTTTTTTTTTCTTCAAGCGATGCGACGTTTCAAGAGATAAGTCACACTTCTAACCTTTTATTGCGTCGTAAATAGCATGTGAACAATTAGTTGTTAGTGCTTCAACGTTGATGTCCATGTGGGTGTCCCATGGAAATCATGATAGTGTTACTTACCTTTATTATAAATGTAAACGGGCTCTTAACAATCACACTACGGATATAGATCCCACATAAAACAGCAATGGTGAAGTCTCACATTGCTGCGTTAATTAATGACATCTTATGTGTTTGCTTTCCCTTTGCTAATAAAAGCAATCAGAAATTCTGCTTACATACGCAATAAACACCCAATAGCTAACAAACCATGAAATCACATTAGAACCATTTAAGGAATGATTAAGTACTTCAGTTAGTAACAGACATGGGTGTGATAATGACATCACACTATCAGAGGTTCAGCTTACTACCAAGTTACATATCCTACTCTCCCAAGTAATTCTTAGTTACATGTATAATCAATGTAACCAAATACTAAAAAAAACCAAAAACAGTAAAATTTGGACTACTTACAAAGTTATGTCTTAATTACCAACAATTCTCAGGAGCAAGAAACGAATTGATAACACAAACGGTGAACTAACAAAACAAAAATAATGCTGTATTCCCCAAATCCTCCTACAAATCTTACTAATACTAAATTTTATAATATATATATATATATATATATATATTAAATAAAAAATAAATACATTTAACCATCCTACAAATCTTCCTAGTATATAAAGAAAATATTACATGGAAAAGTAAATACATTTATTATCTTGAAACCTTCAAAAGCATTCAATATTCTATTTATCCAGTTTGAGGATTAATAGGAAGATTAAGAATTATTCACCAAAACAAAGGAAAGAACTACATGCTACATACCAAGTTGATCGACCATATTTGCCTAAGAACAGAATCCAGGTTACTACAAAGGAATACTTGGTTCAATACCCGGGGTTAATATTTTCAATTGATGAATTTTCAGCAATATGCATATAGGAGTACAGGTCAATGTCATTGACATTAAGTCCCACAAACCCCATATTTTCAAATTATGTAATAAACAAAGCCATCTAATCCAGAGAACAGGAACTTTAAGAAAACTGCGGCTCTCCTTCAAGTGAAAAGTTCAAGAGCCTTTTTGACTAATGATCCCCTCAACAATTATAATTTTTATACATTGAGAAACCATTTTATAATTTATAAGTACTGATCAAAATGAACAATTAAATTCTCTTCAGAGAAAAAAATACTGTAAGATATTACAGAATCCAATTCTCCATTTCCATATCTATAGAAAGGGTAAAAAGAAAGAGGGTCCTGCAACAAATACCATTGATTTTAAAGCAATGATTTCATTTTCAATTGCAATTGTTACATGAAGGTAAATTTGAAACTCGGTAATCTTCTCTATTTTCTGGAGTAAAAAAGTAAGGGGAGAAAAAACCTTTGCTAAAGAAACACAAAGAAGGTTAAAAGGACAACAATAATGTTACAGAAGTATAGGATTTCACCTATCATGCTGGGCAATTACCACCACTGATGAACAAGAACACCACTTTGTCTAAGGGAATTGAAGAGCTGCAAGCATTGATCATATGTTTTCTCATACTTTGAACTCCTCTGCCCGGGGCAACATCTCTGCCACCTATTGTAATGGCATTCAAGGAAAATCTCATCTATCAAACATATAGCCCCAGTTTTAAACAATCTTGGAATCAGATCAAATTCAGTACCCTCCACATCCATCTTCATCACAACAAAATCATTCTTTGTAACCGTCTTCTTCAACCAATTAGCAAAATCAAATCCCTGTATCTGCTCCACTTCTCCATCAAACTTCCCCTGCCCCGACGACTGCACAGGTTGAATCCTACCCATTCCCCTGCCCTTAACCTCAACATGCTCCCCGGGATCACGATGAATCTCAAACGTCAAGGTCTCATTCTTCACCCACGCAGCATAAGGAACCAAGGTCAACCCCTTCTTCAACCCATACTCCTGATGAAAAGTCTTATCAGCTTCAATCGCATACACATGAAAGGTCTTGTTCTGCTTAGGATACTGTTTCCTAAACCAAGACCCTATGCTAGAGCCATAGCTTCTAGCTCCAACATCAACATACAAATACCTATTCTTAAAGCTTATATCAACCATCGCAGGAAGGTACTTTATGTTCTTCACATTCCTTTTCAAAGTAATCCAAGGCTTCAACGGCTCCTCCGCAATCAAAGGCTCAGCAATCTTAACCAAATCATGCTTATAACCAGGAACGTAACACTTTCCGTTCGAATAATCACCATCAAATTTACCAGCAACATCACCACACTCTTTTTTCAAAACAATTTCTCGTATATACGGCATCGAGGAATCAAAGCCTTCTAAGCCATGCAACTTCACTACTTTGAAACAATTGAACAAATCAAGAAACGAATTGAAACTATACGTATCTTTAGGGTTTGCAAAATGGAACACCGCGAACCCTCCCGTTCTCAGCGTCCGGCCGATCTCCGCCGCGAACTCCGCCGGCTTCGCCGACTGCACGAAGGAGTCCTCGCCGGAGAACACAAAATCGAAGGTTCCGTCGCCGAACGGGATCCGCTCACCTCGGCCGGACTTCACCAGCGGCTTCACACCCTTCCGCGCGACTCCAATGGCGTCTTTGACGCCGATCTCCCTCAGCGCGAAGACGTCGCGACCGGTGGGCGTCTCCACGCACAGCGATTTCGACTCCGGCGAGAGGTAACCGCCGGCGATCAGGTCCTGGAACGCCGACGAGTAGAAACGAACACCGTTGATCCAGTCCTTGCTGGTGTAAAGCTCCGGCTGCGACGAACCTCCCCCGAAAGCAGACTCGACGGCGAGAGGACCGGTGCCGGCGATGACGAGGCTGAGAGTCTCCGGCAGCGAGAAGAAGCAGAAGTCGCCGATGTTGCAAGACTCGCCGGCAACGGCTATGAGGTAGGCAAAACGAACGCCGATGACCAAAACGCCGAAGAGGAGAAACCGTATCAAGAGGTTCCGGAGATAACCGGGCTTCCCTGCGGTGGGTTCCATGGTAGGACTGTGCACTTTACTTCTCCTTTTTTTTCACAGAAAAAATAATTAAAAAATTGGCGGAACTTTCAAAAAATAAGGAAAAAAAAAAAAGAAGTTGGATTCTGGCTTATGTTGTTATCGGGAGCAGAATCGAGCTGAAGTGTGGTTGGCTCCGATTAGGGGTTTTGGTTGGGTGGTAGAGATTGGGAAATAGAGAGGGAAGCGAGGGGCAAAACGGGAAAACATTATTTGCGAATGAGTATGCAGTGGTTTTCTTTAATAGTGTTTACTGTGGAGAAGTGAAGAGTGAGTTCATGACTCGGGGGTGGTGGTGGTGGCGGTTGTTTTTGTTTTGCAGAGAGAGAACGCGTAAGGGAAAGTGAAAAAGCGTAGCGGATTATGCTGCGTGGATAAAGCCGTTGCTCTAATATTCCCTCTTTTTAACTTAGCCCCCGAAGTTTACTAAAATTACAACTATTCCACTTCTATGTTGAGACTTGAGATACTAACAAACTATTCTTTTATATAACTAACAAATTAGGCTAAATATTTATTATATATAATTATAATTTATAATGAATTATACATATAATATAAATAAATATTATAATTAAATATATAAATTATATTTACAATTTATATAAATGAATTTTAACTTTATTCTGTGAACAGAAAAATAACTATAACTTACTAATATCTTGGATGAGAAATGAATGTTCTTTTTAGATAATTATTTGGATTTGGATGAGATATGAATAGAATATGTTTATTGCAATGTAGGTCCAGCCTAATTAATACTAAAAATTTGTGGTCAGTTTCTTACTATATATGAATATCGAATACTTCAATGTCAAACATTACACATTTAAGTCGCACCACGTGGGAAGAAGATAAAAGTGTAATACTTGTCCATGACTAGGTTTAAATGTTTTATATAAGGTGAAATGATATGTTTAATATACATAACATTTTAAGTTCAATTTTTCTTACTTCTTTTATAATCTTTATTTATTCTGTGAAATAAATAGATATGAACGAATTTTTTATTTATTGTTTTCATAAGTATTTATTATATATAATCAAAAATTCACAATTATTTATCATGTATAGTATGAATGATTATGCACTTGTCTTAATCATTTAAATTTTAGAATGAGAATTTTTTATTTATACATTAAACTTTTATCCATTAAAATTAAAAATACTTCTTTATTTTTAAGAAATAAAAACAAAATTATTTTGGTATAATTTTTAATATTATAAGAGCAAGAGCATTCACAATGTAAGTTGAGCATGCTGGATTGATTTAAAGCATATTTTGATTTGATTTTATTAATTTTAATTAGATTGGATTGAATTTTTTTATTTTTCAATCTCAAAATTGAACCAATTTGATTCAATCATATTTGATTTGGATTATATCTTTTAATTAGATTTTTATAAAATAAAAAAATTACATTAGACAACTTGTAAAATATATTTTTATGTCATCAACAAATAAACACATTTAATATTATAAATTTTTTTTATCAACATTATAAAGTACAACTAAACCACTAAAAATATAAACTTAAAAAGTAATAAACATCATAAAATTAAAACTTAAATATACACAACACCACAATCTATAAATCTATCATATGTCATCTTAACATTAAAAATTTAACAAAACATCTCAAGTTTTATAACCAATACCACAAAATTTGAAATATGTAATTGGTACTTAACTTTCATGAATAAATTTCATTTTTGTACTTTGATACTAAATGAATGTGCCAATTTCAAACAAAAAAAAATATTAAGTTGATTAGTCACTTATCCCTTCCTTGTCTTTTACTAGTTGTCCAAATTTGATAAATCAAAATAAATTTAATAATAATAATAAATATTAAATTAATCGGATAAATAACCATTAGGGTTAACCTAGTGGTTGAGTAGGGAGGGATTGGGGGGTAGTTAGAAGCATGAGGATCTTGGTTTAATCCTCATGGCGGCCATCTTTGTAATATTTCCTATCTTTACAAAAAAAAATTAATCGAATGAATCAGTTTGATTCAATTTTTGAAAATTAAAATTCAATATCCAAACTAAATTGATTGAATTTGTAATTTTGAAATTTGAACTAATCCAATAATCTATCAATCCAAATTTTCAGTTTGGATCCAATTGAATTCATCAAATCATTATATTGAATAAATTTGCGATTGTTCATTAATTTTTTTATCTATACATTAATTTTTTATCCATCACAATTAAAAGTACTACTTTATTTTAAGAATAAAAAAAAACTTGTTACAATATAATTGATTATAAGACCATTTATAAAAATAAGTTATGTAAATCCTCCATTGGTACATCATATCTATATAAAATTAGAAATGATAAACAACTCACAAAAAATAATTACTTAAATAAATAACTTTTAAAAAAATTCAACTCAAAATCTATGTAATATAAAAAAAATAGTAATGTGTTATATAATGATATTTTTGGGCCGTTTAGGGATTACGACCGCAATAATAGGCCAAAGTTGCATAATTCCATGGAGAAGAAAGGTGAGGAGAGGGTATAGTGTGATTGTCACTTGTCAGCATGCAAAAAGAAAGGATGGTACCATAGGGTTAGTCATGTCCACGCAGGCAAAAGTAATCGTTATTTTGTTTATGATGTGTATGTGATTGTCCCCGTTCAGACCCATGTTTTTGTTTTATAGTTGAGAAGTCTAAAACGTACGTTCAATCTAAAGTTACAAGATTCATGATTTCAGTTGAACGGCAATTGAATGTGCTATCATCAAACACACCTTCATGTTTTTCCTATGCATAATTAAACAAACTACTGTATTCATATATGGAAAACCAAGTTTACTGGGAGTATTTAAAAAAATCACCTAAAAATATCTCACATAGCATTAATTTAGTTGTCATAATATATATATATATATATATCCAATCAAGAAAAGCTACAAATGGCCAATGATACAGTGTATTGGTGACTACTATTAAACTCTTTGTATGGTTTACGCGTCCCAACAAGCTTTTGTTTCTTAAATAGTTCAAGATTCTAATGAATGAGACTTATATTTTGTTCACTTATAGTACCTCTTCTCCTGTGACAAATTTAATTCAACAAATGCTTATATATGCATTTAAATGATAGATTGATTTGGAGTTTCACTCCAAATAGATTATACTCCTTCCATTTTTTTTTCATTGTCTTTAAGGTTATGTATAAAAATTAAAACAATAATTGGTATTTTAGTTTTTCAAAGTATTTATTATAGATTTTTCTGTTATACCTTTTAGGTAGTTGGAGAAGAAATAGGTACATTAAAAAATGAATAGATACATTGTTTAATAAACATGTATTAATTTACTCCAGGGACGAACAAAAAAAACATGTATTAATTATCAAAAGTAAAAATAAAAAAGAAAATTAATAAGTCATTAATTTTAGTGAAATGACAATGAAAAAAAATAACAAAATCTAACAAAATGATTATGAAAAAAAACGGAGGGAATATACAAATGGTTACGGTGTCTATGTAAATCAGATTGGTAATCATGAAGAAATGAAAACTGATGATGGTTGGGATATAATTTTAAAACTTCAAGTGCCTCGTAAAGTGAGAATATTTATTTAGAAGACTTGTAGAGATGTTCTATCGACACATAACAAATTACAAAGTACAAAGGTATATTTTGCTCTACTTCTTGCATGTTTTGTTCTAATACGGTGAAAATTTGTTAGTATAGTTTGATAACATGTGTTACAAAGCCTTGAAGTCTAGTATACATATGGACTGTGGCTACAAATTGATCAGGCTATCTTAAACTATAAATCACTTAAGGATTTATTAAATGAATTATTATTGATGGATCAATTTCAACTTTTGATTATAACCATGTGAAGTATTTGGCAGAGAAGGAATGAAATGGTGTGGTTTGCAGAACATGAACAAGTGGATGTAGTGCTAAATAGAGTAAAATTTATTCTTGTAGATTGGTTAAATACTAACAAAATATTGAATGTTGGTGAGCATTAAGCATATCTTCCACAAGTTATGGAAACTCCTTTAAATGTGTGGGTTCCTCCCTCATTATGCAAAGTGAATTGCAATTGTGATACAACTTTTTTTTATTGAGGAAATATGTAGTTGAAAGAACTCCTAAAAACACTTTAGTACAAGATATTCATTTGTGCTTATATATATGAGTTGATTTATTTTAAAATATTAAAATTTAATTTATAAATGAATAAGATAATAAAAATTAAAATACATAAGAAGTTATAAAAATTCTTAAAAATCCTTGTATTAGGAATCTTAAAAATACTCTCACAAGTACTTTCTTCATTAATGATTAATCTTTATCGAAAAATTTGATTAGGTTAATATGATCTTTCCTCTTAATTATATTTTTTTTCACACAACTCAAATTTGAAATCTTATTTAAAGAAATGAGTATGGTACCACTCTAATCAACGATATATAAATATTCATGTTTAATATATAATACATGAATAACTGTGTAAAAATTAAATTAGGTCAATGCAATTTGGTGTAGATTATTTTTCTTTTTCTTTTTATTTTTTTTGAAATTTTCAATTGATTATTCTCAATGATATTTTATTCTAAAATTATTTTTATTAATACTCCAAATTTTAGAATTATCATCAAATATAAAATATACATTTAAATCAAACCACTAAAAAAAAAATGAAATGAAAGAAGACAAGACGAGGCGACGATAAAGCAAATGAAATGTGTTGATCAATCAACCCCTTCTTTGTCATTTGATCGAATAGGTGGTTGGCTTCTTGTGCCAAGGCAAAACTTGCCATTGTTGGAGGAATGAAGGAACAAGGCATGGATTCTGTAAGGTGTTTGGCGATGGCTCTAGGACTAGGAGTGGGGAGAAGACAGTAGCCCAAACTTGAATTGATTTTATGACATGATTGTTTATGGAATCTTTTTGGCTAAGGGCTAAAGTATTCCAACTGAGTCCTGGCTAAGGCAAGGTTAGACTATTTGGCTAAGTTCTTAAATTTTTTTCTTCTTAAATGCATTTTTAGTACACGAAAGATAGTGGTTGAATAATTTCAGTTTTTAAAAATTTTATTGAGTAATTTTAATTTTTTAAGCATCTTTTTTTTTAATGTAATTTTAGTTCTTTAATTTTTAATTTAACTATTTTAATTTCTTTAATATCATAATTGTATGATTTGAGTCTTTTTGATATGATGATTGTACAAAATTTTACTAGTTACATATCTTAGTAATTTTAGTAATAATAAATATATTATTTTATACTTGAATAAAAATTATAATATATATAATTTAAATAGGTTAAAAATTGGTAAATTAAAATATTTGAGAGACTAAAATTATAAAATTACAATATTACTTAATTAAAATTTGAGAGATCAAAATTTCAAAATTGCGATACTTAAAAG